ATTATTTTAAAATAATGATATTAATTATTTTTATACACAGAGCTTATATTTATAAGTTATCTTATATAACTTATAAATATAAGCTCTGTGTATAAAAATAATTAATATCATTATTTTAAAATAATTGACATTATGAGAATATAAAAATTCGTATCAGCAACACGAATCGATATTAGAACGTTATATGAATTGTTGACATATGTCTTCATACACATGTGTTTTCATATTACAAATTTTGAAAACAAATTTTCGAAATATGAAGGTCTATCAACTGCTGAAATTTGTATCTTCAGTTTATTGATAATCTATTGACGTTCAGTTAGTACTCGGTTATATTTTATGTAAGAAATTTATTCAATTTTCAGTCCATCATGATTGCGATACAAGAGTTTATATATCTTTTGGTAAATCTATTTCGACTTATTTTGCAAATTATTTATCACACCTGTGAAAACGCGTACAACAACTTGTTTGGTATCAAAGAAAAAGATGTTACTAAAGACATCGTCTTGGTATGTAGATATATACATGATATGATAATGATAATTAAACGTTCTTCAATTTCTTGCTTATGTAATATAACAATTTTGCAATAAACAAGTTTCATTTTACACTTAATATTCTTTCTATATTGTATTGCAATAGATAACAGGAACAGGTCACGGTATAGGAAAGGAGTTAGCAATGCAGTATGCTTTGTTGGGTGCAACAGTAGTGTGTTTGGACATAAACCAGCAATCAAATGAGGAGACAGCAAATGAGATTAGAAAAATTAAAAAAAATTCACAAAACACAGTATACGCGTATCAGTACGTTGTCATTATAATATTATTTGTTCCCTTGCACACGTAATATTTCAATTACCACTAATAAAGTTCTTCTACTAAATAATATAAAAATCGTATCGTGAGTTTGTTCAATATATTTTTATTTAATTTAATTAATCAATTTATGAACATCATTATAATAATTAATGTCATAATAATCACAGCATGTATACGGTAATATCGTATATAATCAATGTTAATTGAAATTTTATCATTCTACAGATGCGACATAACCAACAGAGAAGAAGTCTTCAAAGTAGCACATAAGATAATGAAAGAAGTCGGTGACGTTAGTATTTTAATTAACAACGCTGGTATAATGCCTTGCCATACTTTCTTAGATCACACCCCTAATGAAATTACACAGATTTTCAACCTTAATGTAATAGCGCATATATGGGTAAGTTAAAATCGTAATAAATAAATATTAATTAGACTTTCTGGAATAAACTGTAGTTTATTAATTATTTTTTATTTCTCCGGAAGAAATATGTAACATTCAAAAATTTGCTTCTAGATGCTGCAAGCATTTTTACCAGGCATGTTAAGAAAAAATAGTGGCCACATTGTTGCGATTTCATCGATAGCAGGACTCGCAGGTTTACCAAATATAGTTCCTTACAGCGGTAGTAAATGTGCAGTAGCAGGTAAATCGAAGATACGCGTGTATCTAGATGTTGTAACTCGTTTTTCATTCAGAAATTGTTTGAAATAATTTGCTTGAAATACTTAAAAATCTTTTTTATTTGTTTCTTTAAGTGTTCACGTAGATATTATTTTTTCAGGTTTAATGGAAGCTCTTAACTACGAACTCGTACAAAATAATAAAGGAAACTCATCAATTAAATTTACTACAATTTATCCCTTTATGGTAGATACGGGGCTTTGTAAAAAGCCAAAGTTAAATAACAGGTAAATTTGTAGCAATATTAATACAACAAACGAGCATATACGAGTATATAGTAAACACAAATATAGAAACGCTTTTAATTTTAAGAAATGAATAAATATTTTCATTGTATTCTTTTAGGCTTTCTATTGCATTATTATCACCGAAAAAAGTAGCAGCACAAATAATCAAAGCGCAACGGAGGAACATAAGAGAGATGTCTATACCAACATTTTGGTTTTATGTAGCTGCATTAATTAAGTAATTAAATTGCAATATTATAAGAAAAAATTTTCAAATTGACTCTCATATATTAGACAAAATATCTCATGCACGTACACGTACACGTACGCGCGTACGGGTAGTTTAATAAGAATTTATATAAAATGTTATATACGATACAATAAGCCAGAATGCTCAGGTTGTACGTTTTACAATTCAATATTATCTAAGATTAATGTACTGTTAAAATAAAGACTAATAAAATTTTAATTTCAGGTTTTTGCCGGAAAAATCAATAGTATGCATAAGAAACTTTTTTGATTGTGGAGTCGACCCAGTCGACTAATTAATACAGACAATTTTTCACGTTTTGTCATAAAAAAATTATTTCAATGCGTTTCACAAATATTGCGAATACGATACTAAATACAATTATTCTTTAGATAATATAATGTTATTAGAACATAGTATTAATTTTTGTAATGTTGTAAATATTTGTTATAAATAAATGAGTTTTCTGTTCCAATGTATACATATATATATATATATTATGATATAATAAATATTTTTTTGTGAATATACTATTATATGATAAACTCTTTCTGTATTTGATTATACTTTTATTCCATAATTTGTTATTGTAATTCAATATATTTCCCTTGCTTAAATATAAATATAAAAATAGATATCAACATATGTGAAATATACACGTATAGAGATGAAAAGGTTAAAAAATTGTTATATGCAATATGTACAATATAAAAAAATATAATAATATAAATGTACTAAACGTAAAAATATTTTTTGCTAACGCATTGCTATTTTGCTAATGAAAAATCAAAGAAAAAAAATTAAAATTTAGAAAATTTCATCTCTGAGGTCGCAGCAATGAATTATACCGAGGTATAATTATATTTATATATTTATATATTAATTAATATATAATTAATTAATTAATTAATATTAATATAATTATATTTATATATTATACTTCAATAACGTCTGCTATTTGTCATTTTTCAAAATATCATTAAAAATTATATCAAGACAATCGTATCCTCTCAACCCAACTTTTGCACCAGCAAGACAACATGCAAATTTGATGGCCTTTTGTAAAACTATTTCATCAATAAATTTCAAATTTTTTATATCGGAATTTTGTTCAGTATCTTGTCTAAGTACAGTGCTATCACAAGCACCAATGTTCATTTGATTAATATCACTCGCGCAAATTGTCTCTTCTTCACATTTATGAATAAATTCTATTTTGCTTTTGTTTAAATAGTATAAAACAGCTGCATTGAATGTATCGCCTGCACCTAAACTATCAATCACTTCCTGTGGTGGAAAAGCTGGAGATTGTACTATTGTACCAAACGGAGTACGTGCAATCGCACCTTCCTCTGCCCAGGCACAAATGAGGGCTCCTCTAAAAAGGTATTTATTTTTTATACACTAACGTCACACTAATATATTTTATATAAACATTAAAGAATTTTTTATACTTCTTACTTAAGTCCAGCATCTTGGCCTATAATTTGCATTACTTTATCCATATTATGGAAACCTTGGCTCGTAGCAAATTCTTTTGCTACAAATACTACGTCAGAATATGGTAACAGTTCCAGTAATCTGTTACCTGCCCTGGGACTCTCTAATTCTACACTAATTGTAATTGGCACACGATTTTTGATACTGTGATCATGCGTATTCTTTAACAAGTTATTATAATTTTCTATATGCTGCATCATAAGTAACACTTCATCTACATTCCTTCCCTAAAAGGAGAAAATAGTTTAGTTCCCTCGTTACAAAATCTCTCTGATCTTCTGGATTGTGTAAATATACTTCAAAATGAATCCAACTATATTCCTCTAAATTAAGTAGCTTGAAATTTTTTGATGTTAATTCTGGTAACTTCTGATTGTGATATACAATTGTGCGAGTTCCAGTACTTAAACTCAGTATAATGATTGCGGTGGGACAGCCAATATTTTCTATCATAGGGCAATGAGAAAAATCAATTTTATATTTGCGCAGATCATTTTGCAAAAAATTAACATGTTCTTCTGCACTCAAACATGCCAGAAGCTCGCATCGCTGTCCTAGCAACGATAGCACAGTACAACTATTAGATGCATTGCCTCCTCTTTGCCATCTGTAGTCAATAGATCTGGAAATTATATTTATATCAAAAAATAAAAAATATTTCGATAAGAAAAAACTGCAAAAATGTTGCACTATGTTGCATTGCGTCTATAAAAAAATAAAATTAAAATTGTGAAAAATTGGTGCTATTAAGTTTTACAATATTGAGTTTTAAAAATAAAATATCTTAAACATATTTGATATTACTCACAAGAATCGTACTTTTATAATACATTTCCTCTAATTTTATATATTATAGCATATAAATTATCTACGCGCGCGTACATAGTGACCAAAAGAGCTAAACAAGAGAAATATTTACGTATTTAAGATCAATGGTTAAAGTTCGAAAGGCTACTGATTAAAACTATGTAAATTTTACATGTCTGTATCGTTAGCTTCACTCTTATATTTTCGTCTTTTATTCTAGATAAAATTCAAGCACTCATTGTTATCATACTTTATCGCACAGATGTTCGACTTATGGAATATGTTTGCTGTTCGCAAATGGAATTGTTCGCAAGTTAAGAAGATTCAGATTAAATGCGCGATTCCCGTATGACGCGAACTAAATTTATAAAGTAACAAAAAATAAAAAAGATCAAATAATGCTTTTCTAATACCTGTAGTTTTCAATTCATATAAAAAACATTCGATAAAAATTTTTGTATTAAAGAAAATATGAAGTGCGCATTACCATATTATTAAAATTAATATTATTAAAATTGTAAAATTGTAAAATTAAAATTAAAATTAATATTATTAAAATTGTATACTAAATTTTATTATCATGTAATGTATGCATTTAAATTCATTATCATATCATCATATCATCATATTAAAATCATTATCATATTATTATCATATTAAAAAAAATAAATAAAGTGTATTGTCTGTCATTAATATTTTTACACGCACACGTAATTTATTTAAATCACCCGCATAGAAATCAAATGCGATCCCCTCACCGTTCAGTGGAATCCTCCAAAGGAAATTGTTGACACATTTGAATAATGTCAAGACAAACACGTCCCACGCACAGAATTTTCAGTGCATTAGTACACTCCAACGCGTCGATGACTTCATGATGACAGCTGGATGTCATGATAATTGGATAATATCCAAACACCAAAAACAATTACCGACCTTTTATCGTAAAGCTATAGACGAACTATGACTGCAACCAACTGCAACATCAAATTAAATTTATGGCGTAAAAATATCTATTTTATATCATTACAAAACTCATCAAAGTTATTTGTGCACTATATCATAAAGGAAAAAATAACTAGAAAGATGGTAACACGCGTAGGAGAATCAACAAACAGTAAAGAGAATGCGCCATATTGTTCACATGTAAAGATTGATTCACAATTAACTTCACCGCAACTCGTCCCTTGTACTCACTCTAGTGTTTTCTTGCATCACGATCGTGTACAGTTAAAATGCCAAGATGGCAGCGACATCGAATTTTTAGCACGTCGTAAATTACTTGTTGTTAACATCTCTAAATTCACGATATTCTTATCGGATAGATAGCATTATACATTTAAGAAAAACAAAAGGGGTCGTTTACATTTGTCACAGCAAATATTCCATCGCCACGGAATAGAGCACTCTTATGCGACATACATGGTCCGATAAATTCGCGCCTAAAGCACATATTTCCGTATAGAAATTGCACGCACGATTCACTATTTAATTGTCGCTAATTTATTTAAATACAATGGATCCACGTTTGCATAGAAGATCCGAGCCGGAAAAGGGACCGAACGATTTGGTCAGTGGCGTTAACCTTAAAATTTTACTTTACTATCGCCAGCATCACGCGTCTAGTAACACATTGACGAAATGACGATCTTGTATCATTCAAGAATTATATTTCTGTATTACTGCGCTTACATTGAAAAAATGGAAAGAATTTGCGTTCTGTAATCTTACGATAAAATCACATGTGATGGCAAATCTACGTGAACATTATGCAAACTGTAAACTCAAGGAATATATTTACATTTCATATTTTTATTTCAACTATTTGCATATGTTAATGGCAAATTGTTGATGACATTGTAATTGTGTTTTGTAAAGAGAAAATATTCAATGATTTTACAGCAGTTTTATGTCATTATATGTGAAAACACATGACATAGAAACAATTATTATTTTAAAATTAACATCTTGTTTCAAAAATAATTGATTGATCAATGTAAAAATATCATTAGATCTCAATAATGTTGCTATAATTATGAGAAACTTTATTAAAGCGACCTAATATAATTTTTTTGATACAAATTTTTTTATTACAGATTGTAGAATGGTTAAATGAGGCTTCCATGAGTCTTACTGAGGAAATTAAAGTTGCAAACATATGTAAAGTACAAGAGATTTTGTTGAATAAGGAACCACACTTGTTAGAACCTTATTTAGATGATGTTCTACAATTTGCGATCGATAGAAATGCTGAAGTCAGAAAGACAGTTACAGGATTTATTGAAGAAGCTGGGTTATTATCAACAATTTTATTTATTTTGCTCAATATATTCTGTATTTTAAAAAAATATACATAATATTTTTTAATTGCTTATTATTTTTAGAATAAAATATCCAGAGGTAATTCCTCGGATAGTACAAATACTTCTTAGATTAGCGTCAGATGAAGCGTCAGCTGTAGCTAAACGAGCGCTTAGAGCCAGCAGTAGAATACTAAGAGCTGCTCTCAAATGGATTTCCAGTGCTCCTGTTGTTACATCAGAAATGGAATTGGCGTGGACCCAGCTAAGTGCTCTTAAAATTCAAATTATAAATATGATTGACAGCGATAATGACGGGTGAGTAAGATGATCAAGTATAGTGAAAGATAATATTTTATTGTTAGGCATGAATTTAATATTACTGAAATATTGTATGTACATTTTAGGATAAGAACACAAGCTGTAAAATTTCTGGAGGGTGTAGTCTTAATACAAACATATCCAGATCCTGACTGTCCAAAAAAATCTGATGACTTTTCCTTGGAAGATATTCCATTAACATTAAAAATAGCTCGTAGACGAAAATTAGAAGAAGAAGCGAATCATGTCATGGATTTGCTTATTAAATTTCATGGATCACCGCACGTTAGCAGTGTCAATTTAATGACATGTATGGGATCTTTAGCATTAATTGCCAAAATGAGACCACAGTTTATGCCAAATGTAATTCAAGGTACATATATACTTTTATATATATTGGTTCTTTAACATTTAATATTTTAAAATTTTATATGCATTTTAATAATTGATGTTGTGATACAGCCTTGCAGAGGTTGCAACATGATCTGCCACCTACGCTATCTGATTCTCAAGTAACTAGCGTACAGAAACAATTGAAACTCACACTTCTTGGACTAATGAAACATCCTGCTAGTATAGAGTATGCTTCAACCATAGCTAAACAGCTGGCACAACTTGGTGCAAAAGAGCAGGAAATTATTAAAGCTTACCCAAAACCGGAAGATGTTCGTCGTATGAAAAAACGTCAACAGGTATAAAGCCCTACCTGAGAAAGTTGTATGCATCATATCTTTTTGTGTGTGTAATTCTTAAATTTTTTTCTTTTTACTATTTAAAGGAGATGGCATCTGCTAGTGCTGCAAAACGAGTAAAAATTGAAGCTTTAATATCGGATGAAGTCGAAGTGACACCGAGCCCTGTTCCTGTGCCCAAATTGCCAGAATTAATTGAACTTTCCGAAAATTTCATCGCAGAGAGACTCAGTGTAGAAATCGCGACAGATTTAGTGATGGACAGCATGGTATATATTAGGATTTGTGCATTAATCTATATTCATGTAAACTTTAAGTTACTAATGTATATCATTCTCTTTCATTTAACAGGCTTGGGTTCCGGACACTATGACCACAATTTTTCAAAGAGAATATCAACCGACAGCAACTACCGATATTAATATACAACGGCAAACAATTGCTAAACTTTTAGCAGCACAAATCAAACAGACTAAAGCGAAGAAGAGCAAGAAAGATGCCAAGGAAGAAGATGCCGTAATGGAAGACTTAATTAAGAATCCCACTATTAGCGTAGCTGAGGCGAAGCGTGAGCGTAAACGCGAAAAAGATCGTGAGAAAGAGAAGGAAGCGAAAGCATCGTTAGAGGCTCACGAAAAATCGCTAGCAAAAGCTAGAAATCGTTTGAAAGCGTTGAAATTAGTTGAAGTAACAAAACCACTTTCTAAAGAAACCAAGGAACGAATGTTACTGATGGCAGTCAATAGGATATTACTTTCGGAAAAGACGGCAGTTCTTGGTGGTGTAGCTGCTGTAAGGTATAACAAAGCATAAATTTAAATAAAAAATAGACATTTATACACGTGATATGGATATCAATCTAATAATTTATTTCATCATATTGCAGGTCCAAAATTCTGACCACACTTGCAGCCACTTTTAATCCTTATATTAAGGAAGCTGTGCTGCGTTATATTACTGATGATATGCGAAATCGATTAGACTTAGCGCTAGGCTGGTTATATGAAGAGTATGCATTACTGCAGGGATTTCAAAGACGAACTACGTTATGTACAAAACCTCAGGAAGCTCCGCATCAAGCATATAACTTTTTATTGTGCACTTTGGTCTCAGCTATTGATTTGGTTCCAGGAAAAGATCGCGATACCTTGTTGTCCAGGTAATGTAAACATTATATATCGAATATGCGATATATATAAACACTTGCATTGGTCTGATTAGCAAAATTTTTTTTGTTTTGTGAAAGGTTATATCTAGAAGCGCCATTAATAACAGAAGATGCCGTAGAGGCCTTAAAAATGGTATCTTCCGACGAAACTAGAGGTCTTGCACCATTGCAGCTTTTGAAGGAAATGGTAGTGCGTAGACCGACAAAACAATTGGTGTTTTTAAATGTTTTGTTATGCCATACGGGACACGAAAACAATACGGTAAGATTAAAATTAAATTATACATTATGCATTCGGAACAAGATATATATTCTTTATCGCAAAAAAGTAATATTATAAATTTGAAATATTTATATTTATGTAAATAGATACGAGAGGCTGCAATACAATTAGTCTGTCAGTTGTATAGCAGGCCGGAATTAAGCAAACTGATCGAGGAGTACGCAGTTTTGTATCTAGGCTTTTTACGCCTTCATAATCCACCCGAAATTGTTTTTGGACAAGATCGAGGAAGACCACAAATCGAGAATCTGTGGACCGAATCAACTACACGTGCCTGCCTAGGATTATATCTTGCTCTCCTCAGTGAACATCAAGATCTCATTCATGAGTGAGTGATAGAATTAAATTTTTTTTTATTAAATATATGTGGAATATATTGGTACAAAAGGTTTATAATATATAATTTGATAATCATATACTTAATAATAACAGATTAGCGAGAGTATATACATCCATGGGAGCAGATGTGAAACGTATTGTATTAAGACTGGTAGAAGGACCGGTGAGATCTTTGGGTATGGGTAGTCCGCAATTACTGGCACTTGTTGAGAATTGTCCGAAAGGATCTGAGACTTTAGTCACGAGGATCATACATATTCTTACAGAGAAATGTACGTTTATTTAGAAATACATATATTTTTTCACTCTTATTTTTGTCGTTTTACATGATGACATTTGTATGCGTAGCTGCCCCAAGTGCAGAACTGGTGGCTAGAGTGCGAGAGTTGTATCAAACGAGAGTCTCCGATGTCAGATTCTTAATACCTGTTCTCAATGGACTCACAAAAAAAGAAGTGATTGCTGCACTTCCAAAATTAATAAAATTAAACCCTATTGTTGTAAAAGAGGTAAATAATGTAATTTAAGTTCTTCATTTTGCTTGCTATCTTAAGTACGATTGTAGTCTAATTATGTGAATTTTTACACTGTTCAGGTGTTCAACAGATTACTTGGAACACATAACAATGACAGCGGTGTACCTCATACGTCGCCTATTACACCTGCAGAATTGTTAATAGCTTTACACAATATAGATCCAAGCAAAGCTGAATTAAAGACTGTTATCAAAGGTAGATGATTCTATGTAATAATATTTATTCGTATTATATACGAAATTGTGTTAACATAAATTTTATTGTTATTTTATCTTTTATTTGCAGCAACGTCCCTTTGCTTCGCTGAGAAGCAAGCGTACACGCAAGAAACAGTCGCCGTTGTGATGCAACATCTTATGGAGATGACACCCTTGCCGACATTACTGATGCGCACAGTTATACAAAGTTTGGCTCTTTACCCCAGACTAAGTGGATTTGTCATGAATATACTTCAACGTTTAATTCTAAAACAAGTGTGGAAACAGCCGAAAGTGTGGGAAGGTTTTGTCAAATGCTGCGAACGCACGCAGCCGCAAAGTTTCGCCGTTATATTGCAATTACCACCGGCACAGTTAGCAGAAGCGCTCCGAATGGCCAGCAATTTACGCGCCCCTTTATTAGCCCATGTTGAAGCTTTTGCTGAGAATCAAGTAATTCCATAATATACTTTGAAGTATACTTGCACCGCATATTTAGCGTCAAATGTGGCTAAAATTGTCTATATTATTGATTTATATATATATATATATCAATGTAGTGAGAGCTAAATGTGATGCTAAATATAGTGAAACTTTAATATAAATGATATTAATGTAAAAAAATATAATAACATTGTGGTTTTTTTTTCTCTTTTTCAGAAGGCACACATTCCACAGTCGATAATGGATGTCATACAGGGTAAAGTGCCCTGTGATATACATGATGAATTTGATATTGTGAGTAAAGATGCCTGTATATAAAGGAACAATCTTTTGAGCCCTCTTCATATAATATAATTCTTTAAAAAATAAATACGATACTTGGACCCAAAAATATCTCTTCCATCAATTTCTCTTTCAGGCACCACCTGGTGATTATACAAATGATCAAAAATCAGATACAATGGATATTGATCTTTCAGAACCAGCTCCTCCTGGTTTAGAATAGCATAAATCATTCCAGTATTAGGATCAGAAGCATCACCTATCGGGTATCCTAATATTAACGAATCCGTATTATAATTGTGCAGTAAATTTAAAAAAAAATTTTTTTTTTTTTTGCGTTACATGTATTAGTTATACAATGCATTGATAATGGTCCTAATTTATGTCTCCATTTGGTATTAAGTATATTTTTCAAGTTCGAGAGTTATTTAACTTTAAATGTGTGACTCAAAAAAATGAAATCAATTTAATTTTAATTTAAATTAAATTTGAATTAAACACACACGCAGCATTGATTTAAATAATTTGTCAACATACAGTTTCTTTGTGATCAATCTTTAATTAATTAATCATTAATTTTTGTTCTTTTGACCTTCAATATAGTATAATATATTGTATATTGTTTTGGTACTTAACAAAACCTGTAGATAATTTTTCATATTAAAGCAACGTCTTAAAAGTTGAACTACCAATAATCTTTGAAATTAAAAAAAAAACTTTTAAAAAGATATGAAAGTTATATATAAAATTATTGATTAACGGAGAGCAAATTATATGTATAACGGAAAGCATTAATTTAGATTAAACTAAAATTTTAATTTTTTTATGTATAAAAAGACGAATATCAATTATAAGCTAGCTAAAAAAAATATATCTATTAAATATATTTTATAAAATGCACAAAGTTAGGGATAAAAGTAAATGATATTGGTATATCCTCAATTATTTAACTGTGTAAAAGTTTGTTTATTTTAAAGTATAAAATAGAATTAAGTGAGCGTCTTGAATGATCGCTTCACTGTTTCCACTTGTTTACTTGCTCACGTATAAAATAATGTACACAATTGATTTACTGTACAACACTATTTGTGCATAATTGAACTAACTATAAATCAGTCTTAATATTACATATATGTATATATTACACATATGTTAGAAGTTACAATATTTGTTCGTAAGTCCGAAAAGTATAATATACGTAAAACAGAATTGAACTTAACATAATTATAAATGTCATACGAAAGTAATAGACAACATTTTTCATAGTTGAGCGTGTGTAATCTGCAAGTGTATAAAAAATAATAAAATATTTTTTGTTATATAAATTTTGATACATTTTTTACATTTATATTTTCCTTTTAAAGTATTAGCAATTTGATGTAAATATTTAAAACTTGCAAAAAAATTATAAATATTTTGGTTAAGAAATTACATAAAAATTGTAGAATTGAACATATTAAAAACACGAACAATTATTTCTTGAAAATATTTAGCTACAATTTTGAATTGCACGTATTTCAGATAATAAAACACGTTTATATATAATTATCCACATGTATTTGTGTTTATATTATGCAAAATCAACTCCAGTGTCTAACAAATCTCGTAACATAAAAGATGCTTTTTTTGGCAGAATCCTGAAAATATAAGATTATTTGTTAGTATTAATTATTTTTTGCTTCAGTACGCTTATAAAAATTAGTAATGTACCTAAGTACGTGTCCGAGATAAAGCAGATATCCTGGTACGCTAAATTCTGCATAATTCCGTCGGACGCCATCTAAAATCTGTCTAGCGGCTTCTGCTGCAGGCATTGTACCAAAGTAACTCGGTATTCTGATAAATATAATTCGAAAAATTAGAAAAATAAAGCTATATAGACTAAATAGGATTTTTAAACGTTTACCTAAAACGTATGTCTTTCGCAACTTCTGTCCCAATAATAAATGGATAAACATGGACTAATGAAACAATAATATTGCTATTTGAATGTCTTAATTCCATATGCAAAGATTCAGCTAATCCTTGGACTGCAAATTGCGCAGTGGATAAGGGGACTCTGGTTCCACGACCACTTGATCCATTAGAGAGGCCAGCCACAGAGGACAAGATAGTGATATGACCTTTGCCACTACGTCTCATACATGGCAAAATTGAATCTAACAACTAAAAAAATAATATTATATATATTTGTATATTAAAATATGTATTACACAAAAAGATATTTACCCAAAAATAACTAATGACTGACAAATCCATGACATCTCTTACTTCAGATGATTCTTGTACCAATGTACGTGGGCTAGGCAAACCACAGCAATGGAAAAACATTGTAATTTCTCCCAATTGATTCTTAATAAGATTCACCGTTTGAGCAACCTATTTAATATATTAATATCAATATATTTTTTAAAAAATGAAAAAATTACGAGATAAAAATATAAGTATCCATACATACTGCATCTTTATCTCTCACATCACACTGATAACTTTTACATATTCCATTTAATTGCTGAGCACGTTGTATGACTGCAGTACAAGCTTCGACATTAATGTCTACCCAAGCAACTGTGGCACCTAATTGGCATAACTGTAAAGCAAGTTCTTTACCTATTCCACGTCCAGCACCTACGACCTATATTATAATTTATATTTGTATTTGTAATAAATGTAAAGAAGCCTGTAAGAAGTTTACAATGAATGATATATGGCATGTAGTAGATATTATTTGGAATAATACCATAACAACTTCACGGTTGATATTTTTTAAAGGTGGTGGACAGAACATTCTATAGATTGTAGTCAAAATTGTACAGAATATTCCGATAAAAAGTAGTGTAAGATCCAATGCTAATACGCAGAGCGAATATATTCTTAGCAACATCTCTGGTGGACGGATATTTCCTAGTTTTCCCTGCAAAGAAAATACAAGATATACGAAATATTTTCATTGTAAATGATTAGTTAATAAGCTAACGCATTATATAATTTACCATACATACCATCTTCTTGGATTTATTTATTGAGTTTAATAATCGGAGTATCACAGTCCGAGTTTGTAAATTAATTGAATTAACCGGGATGCGGTGCATACCTTATATCGAACGATGTCGTAAACTTGGATGATAACGCGTATCAATTCACACCAGTCAATCAGAATATCACTCGATTCTCTGCATTAGTGTTATCTTGAATTTCGATCAAGTGTGATATTTTTTGGTATGAATTTCTGAGTAGAAACGGATCTTACTGGGTCTGACATGGCTGATAACCTTCACACCATGTCTAATCTCTTCTGAACTTCGATCCGGTTGGTGCAGCCCTCTAAATAAAATTTAATAAAGCATATCCAATTTTCCCTATAATTATCGTACAATGCATACATAGATATCGTGATATCAATTCTTGAATCATCAGTCATTGTTTACAATTTTTTATCGTAAACATAAAAAGCAACATAATATTGAGCAAATATTTAAGAATCAACTTGTTGCGTTTTATTTCTTTTAATTGTCTCATATGTTCAACATGTGTTTATAATTTAATCGGTAGTCTCGTAAGCCAGTTCCCTGATGCAACATTAATAAAAACGCATTATCGTTATCAGTTTACATGTTAATCGATAAAAAAATTTTTTTACATCATTTCATACGTATTACTCCATTTTTATTTTTTTCGATTACTTATCAGTATAAAGGTGTCTTTTCAAATTTTTGATCGTCGGTGTAAAAAGGCACCTTAAATCGTTGGAATGAAAAGGCACCTTAAACATCTGCGCATGCGTGTTTATATACATAGTTACCTTGCATCTGATTCTCTACGAAAGGAAATTTTGTGCGATTAGCGATTCGGTTAGAAAGAATTCAACAAAAATGTGGTACGAAATAATTCCATCGATGATAATAATAGGTTTGATACCAGTCGTTCCTCATTATTTAAGTGTTTATATAAATCAATATTCCCTAGGAAACGTAAGTACGCAAGCTTACATAACCTAATCTTTTATGATTTATAACACTTGTACTAAATGATTATAAAATATTCAATTGTAGTAATGTTCAATTTGTAACAATTCAAAACTTTATCGAATAACACTCGATGCACCTTTATTGAGTAGAAAATTATATGTATTTTTGTTTTTTATTCTTCAACTTACATTTTAGAGCTCATTAGAATCCAAAATAATCTAATTTTATTTTATTGTCATGTTTATTTAATTTTACTCATTTTTTACAAACATGACATTGTTTAGATAAATTAAATCTACAAGAAATTTATTTGGCAAAACATGCAAATAAATTTGTATTTAATTTAGATTTGTCAAATTTTAATATTATTTTCTTGATTACTTTAATGTTATTTCTTTACAGCCAATGCGTAGAGACATGCGAGATATATGGGACCGACATATGTTTACAAGAGATGCTCGCATAGATGGAGCGCCATGGTACAACAGGGTAATCAATTTATCAAATATATAATATTTATTAATACAGGTTGTTCCTGGTTCCTGTTTCTCCTACTGGAAGATTTTAAATGTGATTTTTTAATCACATTAAAAGTATTTATAGTTAATTGTTTTTTTACAGGGGCTAGAGAATGTTCCTGATGATTAAAAAGTACAAATAATATATTTCAAAATAGAAATGCAGCGACAGTTACATGATACATAGATATGAGATATATATGACAAAGTGTCATTCAATTGTAAATTATATAATAATTAATGATAGAAAAATATATCATATTACCTTGAATATATTTTATTTCTAACTTCCTAGATATAAAAACTAATCTATAATTGTAAATTTTGTAGGGATAACAATTAATTTGCCATTAATATAAAATTAAATTAAATTGTTTCAGTTTCTTTCACTTGATATTGAAATGATATGTGTAAAATTAAAAGGCAATATGTATGATTTAGTTTGCAAAATTTTTATTATTTTTATACTTGTGTTTAATCTTAAATCTCTACAGCAATAATTTATTAAATCTATAGTAAAATTTTATCACAAGAATATTCTATATAATTATTTACATCATTTTAGTTGATAAATTATGATAATTTGAGTTATACTAATGATTTTTAATAATAAAACAAATCTTGTTAAGTTAATGAATTGTAAATGTATCATATAGTATTCATAGATTTAGGTCGGAGTAATCCTGCTTCCACTGGTTTCTTACGGTAACAGGAGATGGAACTAACCGAGTAACATTATCTTTATTCTAAAGTTACAAGCATTACTTAGCTAAGCGTTTCTCACGATGGCGTCATATAGGTTTATGGTATTGATAAGATGAAGCCATAAATTGCAAAGAACCCCGTTTGTTGAAGTCTTAAGTATGATATTTTCAGAAAATCAATAGTTAGCACTACTCTCGGTAATGTAACTTAGTTACTTTAGCGATATATATCAAGTTAACGTACGTGCAGTTCGAGCTTTAGGTAAATAATGGGGCGTGCTTCCTCCCACCATATTTAGAACATGTGCCCTGAATCATACACTTGAGCGAGATGTTTGAGAGATGCTAACGCGTAATTAATATTGACACACGTCGTCATATCACGTTTATACGATGTCCTCGTATGCGAGACGTTTATACTTATTTGTTACAAATACAGCAATTTGATACATACATATTTATATAGTTAGATATATTTAACACAGTCATTCATCAATATTCTATATAATATTTAATTCTACAATTAGAACGTATGTTTCCACATCACGTAATGTACAATTTTATTAAAAAAAAAAACAATGAGAAACTACAGAAAAGTAGTTTATTAAACTTTAAAAATGTCAACACATACATTAGTTCATCTTAATAACGTTGTTTAATGTTGAGCATTAAGATATTAAATTTTTGTGAACGAAAAGCCAAGCGTAAATTCATCAAAGGACATGCCATTAAAATGGAAGGTGTATTTGAGGTTTCTCGTTTTAACTTAGGGATCGTAATTCCAAGAGAGTTACTTCTAGATCCTATTTCCGGAGACCACGCGCATGATGGTCTAGAAGGTACATCGTACTTTTAAAAAGCGTGGTTAAGAAATTTTACTTTAAAGCATATACTTCAAAGCTTCGTACAGCAAGCATATACTCTGTAAAAACTTTTCAACCTGTAATCCTTAAATCGCACGAAAAAGTTTTACGTGCGTTTTTTTACTTCGAGCATAGTATTACAACAGCTTTATATTGTAAGTCAGCATGAAAATAAGCTTAACGAAAAAATGGGTTTTCACATAGTAAACACGTGGGTGACAGCGATATGTTTCTTGGTACTCACTATTTGAGCAACAAGTGTGCTGGTTCAGAGAGGTTCAGAGAAATATGTTACTCTTCGTGTGATAAACTTTGACACGAGATCATTGGATTGACGAAGAATGATCATGGTTCGAAGTAAAAAAGAAAATTATGAGCGTCAAAGCGGAAAAATACACTTAAGTAAATATATTTTAAATTTTAACATAAATATTTTACATTAGTAATTTACGTATTTTACTATATCTCCTAAAATTATTTTCGTATAATTTTTACTTTTAGTTTTTTTATTATCAACATGCTTCTTCAATCTCTTTCGCGAAAATTATTTACGAGATCGATATTCAGCTTAAATGTGGCTGTTGAAAAAGACTGACGTGTCACAAATTCGTCGCTGAAAGAAAGAAAGAATAAAAAATGGAAGAAAAAAGTTCTTTAAATAATTGTACATAATGTATTAGTCGCGCGAGGCATTTGTGCTTCCGACAGACGCGATAGATGAAACCGGAAACAACCGTCAAGATACTGTCGTCGTTTCTCATCGGCGATTAACAAGAATTAATAGACTGTTACGTGATCAGGTGACAGATTAAAAATTAATATCGCGAAAGTAGCTGGTTCCGCGAGGAATATTACCTTAGATGTACGCGCACGTGAAATGAAAATTCTTCGCTTGTCAGACTGTCAGAGAAAGAAATATCCGGCAGCGGACGGGGAGGATATTCCCCCCTCCCCCCCCCTCCCCTTGCCGTTGGGAATTCTTATTTCCTCTTTTCTTCCCTCCCGCTTAAAGCGCGTTTCGCTATCCATTTTCCCGGCACGTTCAATACCTAAAGTAGAGACGCTCCGAAATTTTCATTGCCATAGGTGGGAGGCCACGGTGACACGCAGGAAACTTCAACATAGAGAGAAAGAGGTTCCAGACGTGCGAAACGGCGGTGCCCCTTTGTTTTCTTACGTTACAGTCCAGAACCTTCGAAAAATGTATAAGAACGACCCCGGAAACGGGTGGATGCGAACAACGAACAATAGTTGACGGCGACGACAAGGGTTTTTCGTGATAATGAAGTTACATGTGTGATTCGGTTTTTAAAAAATGATTTAATGCGTTGGTACTAGGAACATGAATGTTCGACGTAGATATTTTTTTTATATGAAGAACGAATGAGGACTATGTAAAAGAGGATTATTATTGAGATATAGAGTTAATATTCTTGAATAATAAAACTTTATATGGATTCATATATATATGACTTCTATATACAATAGACATTATTCTTAAAAAAAAGAAAAATTGAAATAACTTTTTCAGTCAAATTTAATTAATCACACGAGCCATTATGAAGTTCGGAATCTTTTATCTCGCATGCGAATTAGTCGCTAAAATTAAGAATGCACCTGTATTTGTGCCGCGTGTTTCTCTCCAATTTACAACATTTCCGCGCAATTTCCAATACGCAGTTTCATTTCCATCCTCTTATTAACGTAGGGGATTATTAGCGGTATTTAGGTCGGCCGAATAGGAATCCATCAACGGTGGTGATTAATACAAATTTGCAATTTACAGTTTATTAACGCGAAACTATCAACCGGAACAAAAAGCAACGCGATGAATTCGCAATGTTTTTCCGCTTGTCGCGACTCGTGTCAACACGCTGCGAGTATATCTCGCTACTATATCTCTGCTATTGCAGTCGACGGAGTATTTAATTAAGTAAGCAAGATTGATATTAAATGCGTACACGCGAAAGCATTGTTGTAATATGCGGTGAGAGCGTAAGATGGAATTGCGGCTTTATTATAAATAAATTATGCTTCGTAATTACGCAAAGCGCATTGCGCTCTTGCATCGACCGCTTTGGACTTCTCGTTATTGGCTCGTAAAAGGCCCCCGAAAAACATTAAAGTCAGCAGGGAACGAGTAAAGCCAACGTGCCTTTCCTCAAAAGAATGTATTATTCATGCCTCTGTACGAAGCTCCCGAAGGAAAGTCCCCGCAGAGGCGTTTCCGCTTCGACTCATCATACACCTAAGAATTTATGATCTCTGAAAACAAGTACGAATACACGAAGTGCGATTGTAGTAAGTGAATATTTTCGTACTTGATTGTGTCTAATGTAAAAAGTTATATTAATATATTACTGACAAGTATTTCGGCTTTCCAGAAATAATTAACGCCGATAAACCTTTAAAAGCACAAGCAGCAATTACACATATTATTAATTACATCATTTGGTTATTTGTATTAATGCCAATTATTTTGGTATAATTAATTTGTAAATAACTGAAGTAGTTTTATTGCAAGTTTAAAAAAAATATATAACTTGCACACAAATATATGACTGAATATTGTTAAAATATTATTGACCATTAGTCAACTTTTTATTTTGACAAAAACTTGTTTCGAAAGATGTCATTTAATATCAGTATAAAATTTTATTTTGAACTTGCGCGAAAGAAAGATCCACTAATTCTATATGGTATGTATATAATTAAAAAAAATTAACTATTACAATACATTATCTTTGACCTCCTTGTACATACACATATCTTTTTAGTGCGAACATTTCCATATTTACATATCTCAATAGTATTTTCCTCAATTATTATTAACGACGTAATAAAATATGACGACTTACAGCACTGCGGTTTTCGATAACAATACAAGGCTCGTAGGAAAAGCTGCCGCTGTAAATCCTGCTTTCGCCTTGTACCCTATAAATCATGAAAGAACGTACAATACCTGTGCAAAATCGACAGAGCGTCTTGCACGATGCACGACATTAATCTTAGATTACGATAAGCGGCATCACACTCCGCGCTTTTGCAGAACGCGGTTGTCGCGACAAATCTCGCGTCGCAGTAACGCACTTTCCGGAATCCTCAACGCAAATTTTTCGAAAATCGCGTTTTATCCCAAATCCCGAGGCCCGGGAGAACCGCGTCTTGATCACCGTTACGGATTCCTACTTCGGGAAATGGAATTTATCGATTCGCGTGTGCTCGTTCGCCTCTCTGAACTAACGACAACGTCGGCATCGGTTAATCGCGCAATTTCGCGTCTTTCATCTAAAAAATTCTGTAAGCAACGTCAAACACCATCGTATTAACTCTTCGTCAAAATTATCTTTCTTGTTTTACTTCAACCCCTCTTCCATTATCGCATCTTCCATGAACTTATGTTTATCAGCTCCTTATTGAAAAAGCGCGATAACGCACTCTTCGTGATAATATTCACTTTTAGAAAAGTATTTCTATATTGATTCTAAATTAATATTTTTTACAAATTGTTTACAGATTATTGAGTTACAAAAGAAAAAAAATGTTCGACTCTTTTCATTTTACCTTCAGAAATATTAAAGCATAACATGACATACGAAATTGCAGTGATAAAACGCAGAGAACTAACACAAACCATAAATATATACATGCATGTTCTATTGGCTAATTAATTGATTAATTTAAATATAATAATTTTACAATTCTACAAAATGTCTACATTGCATTCAATTTGCGAAAATTGTAATATTACTGCAATGTAATTGAGAGATTCTGTGTTAGTCTGTGGGAAATATTTTTATGCTAATTTTATGTTAATTTCATGAAGTTATATAAATTTAATTAGATTTACATTTTCAAAATATATGTCAAAGTGAAAAGCCGATATCAATATTGCAATGTTATTAATCTGTCGCGCGTGAACAGTTTTGCATATCTGCCGTTTCTTTTGACTGTTACTGTACCACTCGGAGGATTAATTACATGGCGCTTCACTTGCGCGAAGGGTTCGAGGGTGCCTTCATTGCCAATTCCAATTTGAGAAAATCGTGGAAAGTCCGATACACTCACGGTACACTGTGTAAAGTTGCTCGACCTGCTTCCTCGTACTTACCATGGCAGTTTTTTGCATTCGCCGTTACTTTCCAACGCAAACGAACGCTTGTCCCCGTTCCTTTTAATGTCAACGATGTAACATGCTAGTCGTATGTTCGTACAAAATTAAATGAAACAGAAGCGAAAGAATTAATTTTACATCTAACTTTGGGCGTCCTTCATACCACCTTGTGTGGCAGTCTCTACGTTGTATCATGCAAGGACGACAGAGATAGTTGGATATTTGTTTGAAGTTTATCAAAAAAGTAATTCATTTTGACGGCTTTTTTTTTTATCCGCAGGTGATTGCTTTTTGTTCCTAGCAACGTCATAAATCACTGCGCGATGTAAAACGTGAAAAAGCTGTCTCTTGTATTCTGTTGAAAATAAAATCACGTTTACATTATAACAGTGAGTAGTGAAGAGAAGAATTAGGAAAGTGAAACTATTTATATATGTATAATGTGTGCTTTATAATATAGTTTTATAATACGGAACGATTAAATAACAAATTAAGTTTATTATCATACTATATTCATTCGAATTATTTTAATTAAAAATGATTTTAAATTATGTTTTCGTAAATCTCTTATTAACGGAAGTATTCAAAATAAGAAATAAAAGGAGAAATAACAAGAAATAAATGGACCATCCTATATAACATTCCGCAGTTAAAACTGAATAGGAAAATAATATTGAAGCTAATGAGAGAACAATTACTTTTAAAATATATAGCAATTTTTACCTAACGATGCAAAACAAATGGATAATTTATGCGGGTCTATTTGCCTCGCTGTTGGTTTGGTCGAATATTTTTTAGTATTTTAAGCATAGGCCATCTTTCAATTTACAGAGATGAAACTGAGAATCTACAATAAAATCCGCGAAGTGGTGATGCCATCTTTGAAATCCATTTTCACGGATAAATGAAAACTTGCTGAACTTACATCTCGTGCCACTTTGCATATATCTGAAAAGTTTTATGGAAATTAAAATTTTCCTGCTAGTCAGTTCTACCACGAAATTTCAATTGGCTTGCCAGAAACGCAGTTTCGACTCTTGGACTTTAATTAATGCGCCAAATCAAGATTGCAGGTATTCCTTTACATAGATTTTAAATTGTCGTATTGTTAGGTGATGTATAAGCGTATTATTATCCGTTATGAATTTCACAGAAGATTTATGAAAACATTTACCAAATTAATTGCCATATTAAATCGTATATGACATATTATCGTCGTGAAAATGATCCATGCTCCATCATTAATTATATTATAATTTGACAGTGTTTTGCAATAGTATAATAAAACAATAAAATAGAATACAATCAATTTATGTACTTGGATAAATTTAATTTAAATTTTATATTTTATATTTTTACCTCGTTCTTTTGATAAAAGGTAAAAATGTAACTAAAATGATGTATTTAATATATTGAACTTTAGAAAATATGATAAACGTAAAACTCTAGCATTCTGGATTTGTGCAAAATAAATAAATAATTTTAAAAATCGGCTCCTCTGTTTTATGAACACTTTTGCTTTGAATTTCGTTTACTGCAAAATCCTTGTTAATAGTTAACAGCAACAGTTTCGCATATTATAATTACAAAATGTGTAAACGCCATGATACATGATAAAGTTTAAGAAATGCTATTAACATATTTTAAAAAAAATATAAGTATAAAGCATTTAAACTCACTCTGCGCTTTTAGAAGTTTCTCTCGTGAAACAGCTGCTTTGAGAAGCACTGGTCTATACGACACAATGTCCTGCTGCCCTAAGTTCGTTCTAAGTGTTTCTCCCCTCGAGCTGCTATCCTTATGCAGGAGTTGGAGTTGGTAGAGGCACAAAGCTTGGACTGTGCCGGCTCCGGCGTCCGTGACACGAGCCGAGGGTGAAGAACGACCAGAGCGGTAGCGCGCTCGCGGCGAGCTGCACAGTCGAGCGTGAGGCTTCGTCGGAGCAACTTGGTCTGCGCGCGCGCGCGCGTTTTTACTTCGCCGATCGCGTCGTTTCGAAATTCTAGGAGTAAAGGAGTGAAGGAGAGCGAGTCATCGATAGACGCGCGCTTCTCGAGCGAACTGCGTCACCTGCCGAATGTTACATTTGTAAGGAAATCGAGAGAAAAACCGAGTGAGTCGACAAAGCCGCGATCGCGTGGGTCTCGATTCCGTTGAGCGTCGCTCACAGTTGTGCGCGACGCTTCGTTGAGGTAGCTTCGTCAGGTAGCGAGCGAGGTTTCGAAGGATTTTCTTGGACATTTTACATGCCTAGAAAACTGGTTTGTCGTGATATCGTTCAGAATTCCATTCGAGATAATATACGTGAAAACCAGTGACGACGGCGATATAACTTCTTCGAAATTGTCGGTATGTGTTGTGCATGTGTACGTTTGTACTTTTGTGATATATTCTTTGTGACGTATTTTTTGTTCTGCTTGAAGTTTATTTCGTGCTAACTTTGGTCGAAAGTGATGATTTAGTGATTGCTTGACATAAAGTTTTTTAGCAACAAGCAACTCAGCGGTAAAACTGCGTGAAGTTGCCGCTATTGCAATAATAGAGTTTGTTTTGTAACTTGGAGCGTTGATTTTTATTTATACGTTGCATTTTGAGAATGCTAATATAGCAGTACTTTCCGCATAATACATAATTATTTTCTCTCTAGTTAATATTTTCTATTCTATTTTACATTTTATTCTTTTTATTTTTATTGTGAACTAATCGCATCGTACATCATGAAACAACATAAATAAATTCACGATTATTCTTTAGTAACCTCGAGATATCGATAGTAACGAAGAGATCGATTCACGATTATCAATTTGGCATGAAGCCACTCGCAATTCATATTCACACAACGGTCGATTTCTAAACGTAAACTTTCCATTCTCACCGCTGAATATCGCGAGGAATCAATCAGCCAACTAACCTCCTGAATTCGCGTCAGGTTAGATTACGAAATTTCGTGAAAATTCAATCTTCCACTAACTTCTAGCGTCTGTTTGGAAACTACAGTCGACATCAGGATTTTTCAACTTTTTTTGGTTAAAACTCTGGTAAACTTAATTTTCTCAACTTTCGCCTTTAGGAAAACAAAATCTACTTTCTAGAGGCTTCTTTTTGATAAGAATTTTTAACGATAAGGTTTCGACTTGCCTCACTCTTTGAATGATAAGATATATATAGTATTTTTATCAAATACTGTTAATTAAATTATATTAAAAATAGCGTTATCTCATTACATTCCGAAAGAATAGAGACGCATTGATAATTTTTCGTCGAATCTCTACGAAAGAAATATTACAGTTCCGCTGGTTGAAAAACACTGACTGAGACGCACATAGGGGAGCGTCCTTTTTTACTACGCAGCTTGTTTGTCCTTGAGCAGGTTAAGGAAGAGGGATCTTTCGACGCTACAGAGCGTTTCATCGTTCAGTGGCCTTGTGGAAACGACGGGGAGTAGTGACGCAATTCCCATACTCCTGCCCGTATCTCGGAAAGGAAGGAAAAATCTGTGATGACGGCAACGGTGCGGCTTTGAGACGGTGTCTCTCCTCACCTCGGCCGGTGCGACGCGTGTGCGGCAGGCGCATGTTATGATGGTGTACGTGAGATCGTGCGTCCGGATCGTTCGTGAACTCGGCAACAGCCTGTAGCCTCGTGGCAGCTGGTGGTGTTTGCTACGCGCACAAGGGAAAAAAGAAGTGGAAGACATCAATACGGACGAGGACTCGTTTCGGATTTCGACGCCGCCGGACCGACCATGTGGATCTTTGGGAATTACTCGAGGCGATTGACCGTTATCGGAATAGGTAAGTGCACAAAGAATTTTAAGATAGTACACGACCCGGAATTCTTTTTTTTCCGAAGAACACGTGAACTACAGATTAAAGTCGAACAGGAGGACGCATGCTGTGTAGAATGTAGGGCGTAGGATATATTTATTCTTTTCCTCCTTTTTACTGTTGGGCTCTACGCACAATAGAGAAAATATTAGGAATAAGAATAAATATTGAATATTAGGAAGAGCAATTTTTGGAATTATTTTACTTCAAACAAGGGAATGGAATGGATTAATTATTTCTAATTTTTATTTCTTATTTTCTTGTTTTAAAATAAAATAATATCAATTTTCTACTTTTAATATTTAATATTTATTCTTATTCCTAATATTTTCTCTATTGCGTAGGGCCTTAGTCTCTATTGATAATATTGTATTGTGTGTTAAAAAATATACGATAAAAATAATACACAATACTGAAATCCAAATTTTATAGTTTTTGAACGAGATTTTTAAGAGTGTTATGTTTAAATGCAAGATGTGATGTAATCATTTTTTTGTTATTTACGATCGAATAAAGACAGTAAGAATTAATAATTGACAGTTAAGAATTAATAATTGATGCCATTTGATGTATTCATTTATTCAATCATAAACATCTGTTTTGCACAGACGCATGTCATAAATAATAAATAGACAAATGTGCATATACACGATTGAGAAAGACAAGTTTTATTCATCATTAGAAATTATATTCGTTGGAGAACAATTAAAAAAAATAATATTTGCTTAATATACATAATTATATAGAATTAAAATGTTATAGAGAAGTACAAATGGTCTCATATTTTATAAATTTTTGTGCACATTCACTAAACGTATGTTTAAAATCGATGAGCATTGTTCACTGCACGAGCACTTTATTTAGGAAGAGAACCACGTATTTTCGAAACGAATTGACGGTAAGAAAGGAAGCATGCGTCTTCGTATAAGAAAAATAGCGCGCAACGTGTACAACTCGTGCGATTAAATGGAAACCCGGGATCGCTGTCTTTCTCGTTGATAAATTGCATCTTCAGAATGAGACCAGCGGAACTCAAAAAGATGCCAATGCTCCAAGATTGTGGAGCATTTCGAAAACAATGAAAGCAATTGATAATACAGATAATACAGAAGGAGGAGGATATACAATGTATATGTGCTCAGAAAATAGATTTTTTCAAAGTATCAAAGTAAAACAATACAAAACAATACTAATATCTCGTTTTGTATAGCAGAATTATTCCACAAATTACCATAATTTGCAGTATTTTACTTTGCAACATTTAAATAAGAAAAAGTAAAGTAAAAATCATAAAAATTTAATTGTTTTTCTTTTCTGCTAAAGAGAAATTCTATATTGCGATTAATTGATTGATAGAATATAGAATATTTTAGTGAATGAATTCACGTGACATCTGTTCAAAGAAATACCTGTATCTTCCCGTCAAAATATATAACACTATTATGAAAACTTGATTTCTCTCCGGCAGGGGATAAACACATTTCATTTCGATCCTCCCGTAAACTAGGTATTCTGACACGCGCCGATCTCATTCCGGAGGTACGAAATACCTCGAATTGTTTCCATCGACATAACGAGATTGCGTCAACCATTGCGTATCTCTATTCGCGTGAAGTCGATGGAAGTGCACGTAGATGACGTGCCTGCCGAGTTCGAGCGAAGTTACGTTGTAATCTTCTTACACTGAAGAAACGTCGAAACTTGGACGCGTCAATAAACCATTAGCACGAACGTAAACTAAAAGCCATACCTACCTACGAGAACCGCAGGCGTTAAGAGCAGTTTTTCTTTAGCCTAAATTTGCACGACTGAAGTAAAAATTCAGTTGTCGCGAATTTGAAACTTTGCTGCTTGAATTATTTAGTACGTTGGACGAAAATCGACCACATTTAGCATTTTAAAACGTATTAGTAACAATGCTTATTTATTATTTATTGTAAATGAATCATTATTTATTACAGATAAGATAAAGATAAAATTATAATAATATTTTATCTATGATGTGAGAAGAAATTGACGCAATCTGATCAGAATACATACTTATTGTTAGAATTATCTCGCTTTCCAAATTGAATTAATATAATAAATTAATATTGACTTGATTATATAGTCAAGTATAGATACAATGTTCTGAAATATAAACAATTCAACAGTATATTTTAAATTCTTAATTATAATTTAAAGATTTATTAACTATCAATATTATATATACATTTACAAAAAAGGAGTATATTAAAATTATTTTTAAGTGAGTTTAAATTGGCTTCACTATTTATTCTTTAATCTTTTATCTAAGTACCTCGATAATTAAGCCGTAAATTACTCGGTACTCCTTACAGTCGATTTTAACGAAATTGTCGCAGGAAATCCGGGAGTTAATTGAAACACCATTTACGGTTGGAATTTTCTGGTACTGATGTTGCTCCGGAATTTCCGTTATCTTTGTAAACTTGGACCAAATGGTAGATATTTTCACTTCAAAATATATAAAAGTTTTAAAATGCCATTAACACCAAAGAATCTTATGATCTTATATATAGTAGCATAAAATTATATTTTTAGTAATTAATTATTCTCGATACTTCAAATAGCATAGTCTATTAAAAAGTGACATTTAAACGAAAAACGTGAAAAATATTTAAGCGAACTCAAAGTGTTCTACCATTTTTATTCGCAATAAATAAAAAGGTAGGAAATATTTGATCTTAGTTTAATATTTTTCATACTTTTGTACATGTACTATTCATTCCATTTTTCAATTTTAGCCATAATCTGACTTACACATATCATATAATCATAAAAGTAAATTGAAACGAAGTAGAAGTTTGAATACAACGTGAATATCGATATGACATGAATAAGTAATTATCATGCGGAATCCTTAATGAATTTCGGTGAATAACATGTCTAAATATTTGTAATTACGTTTTATATATATATATATATATATATATATATATATATATATATATATATATAATAAGTATAGCGATAATAATTCGTCACCTTAAAATTGATTTAATAAATGGATTTATTTGATCATTTAATTATTCGTATTTCAGAATAGATAGATTCGTTTATTCCGTTACTATTTTTGGAAAATAACTAAATGATCATGATGGACTGCTGTCACAAAATTGGTTATTTTAGTTGTATACCGTAGAGAAAATTGGAAAAGCTACGATCCAACTCGACGCAGCCATAAAATCGCGCACGTTAAACGAAACGTGTTCGCGGTTATTTCGTGACAATTTCTTTTCGTTCGGGAACGGTCATGTTGTTTGAGTATTTCTTGCGAAAACACGTGTGTATGTTTGTAATTAAAAAAAAAACAGATTTTACACAGCGCGATTTTTCGTTTGGCCGAACGACCTTTCGCGTCGCGCGGAAAGCCGGGGTCGCGCACACCGCTGGGAACGAATTCTATGTTCGCGTTCGTATAATTGGCAGATAATGCTGGTAATGCATGATAATTAAACCGCACTTCGTTGCGTCACGGTTAAACGCGATGATTCTTGCGCGTTGCCTAGTTTCTGTGGAGGAACGACCATAAAGCAGGAATTAATCGATACAATCTATTGTGCATTTTGACGAGTTTAATGGTTTTCTTTCTTTTTTTTCTGTCGTTTGTTTTAATTATTATTTCACTTATTGTTGCACTTTGATTTATCTAGGCAAAAACGTCATAATTCACGAATTCTACACTTATGAGATTTTTGATTGGGAAACTTTTTTTATGTTTGCATCTTTGAACTGATATGGCTTAATAATGTCTGATATAATCTGTCAGCGGTATCCAACGTATTATTGAATATGCTAATACAATACTGATATAGTAGCAAAATAATAGTTCTGAATGAAATATATCATAGGAACGTGCATTTTACATAATAAATATGGAAATTCTGAGAAAAATTATGATGAAATTAATATTTTGTCAAACTATGAATCTTTAGAAGCATTTTTTTATTAAAGAATTATATTGATTAATGTTTTTGTTTAAAAAAAGAAATATTACATCGATAGGAATATTTAACATGATATTTCTTTTATAAACAATATGTATATAAAATTTAAGGGTAGTAGAAAAAAATGTAGCAGAAAGAGAATTGGACGTAGATAACAAAATTAAACCAACCAAGAGAGAAAATGTCATTTGAAAAATCTTTAATACCAATTTCGTTATATTCCGGTAATAACGAGAAAATTAAAAAGCTCGGAAGATAATTGTATCTATAATACTCTGACAAGATATGAGTTTAGTTGTAATTATTGTACATTATTGTATTACAAGGCACAAAATGTTTATCTATTGCCACGTAAATGCGCTGGAAAGTTATTGAATTAATTTGAAACCTCTATGTGACATAAATGACAAAATCATTTTCACAGATTAATTGTATGAAACAAACCAATCTTTATAACATCTTTTTTTAACAGACATCTTTCTACATTTACACAAAATATTTTTTTAAATAATTTAAAATTTATAAATTTTAATTTCTGGTTAATTTGACTAACAGTAATTATATATTTATATTTTTTAAAGAATTCTGCAATAGTTAATGTCACATAATTTTGTCTTTCTTCGACAATTGTATCCGAGTCTTACAGTTTAAACATTCTATTTCATTCAATTGTTTTCAGCAATTTCATGTTTCATTCATGAACGAGTTTACATGCGCATATCCATGTCGAAACGTGTGTCGATACATGTCGAACATGTTCAATATGTGAAGTTGACGTATCATTTTATAGAAACTAACTATTGAGAGTTGGCTTTATTTTTAATAATTTTACAACTTTTACATGAAACAAATAATGAAATAAAAATAGATACAGATATTTAGCATTCGTCGTTTACAGTTGCAACTGGATGTGTACGTGTAATAATTTACAGAATAATCTTTTTTTGTTTTTTTGTCATTCGCGTTTTTCTTAAAATCTTACTCGCGCGCGGGAATTTG